TAAAATTAAAAATAATTTTTTATTTATTATTTATTATTATTTTATTATTATTTTTTTTATCTTAATTACATAATGAAAATCAACCATCTTTCGTTCTTTGTCTCACTTCATCTATATGCCATGTGATTTTAATTTAAGATCTCTTATTTTCAGCGAAAAGAAATTATTACTAAATTATTTATATCGTTAGCTTACTATAATTTTAAAACATATAAATATCAAGATATTTTTATGAAATTTTAAAATAGATATTTTTTAAGAAAAGTTTTTTTTAAAAAAAAAACACCTCTAAAAATTTTACATTTAAGTTTTATTTTTAAATATTATCACGAGTGACTAGGTGTTTGAAAAAAAGGAAGGTTATCTTTCTTGTAGATGGCCATCGAACGTTCATGCACATAAGGAAGAAAAATGATTTTACCACGTCACTGGCATGCGCACCATCCGACATCGCCTATTTGTCTTCCCCTTTTTGCCTTATCTCATTAAACAAGAGGTTCCTTTTTCTTTTTCTTTTCTTTCTTTTTTTTTTTTTTTATATTAATATCAGATTGAAACTCTTATTGTAGCCAACAAGTTTAGAATCTATGATTCTTAATTTGAAGTTTCTTGAAATGTTTAATTAATTTTAAAATTTGGGTTAATTGTTAGATTTAATACTTCTTTCCACAATTAATTGTTTAATTAATTTATAAAGCCTTTGATTTGTGGTTGGTTTCATTAAACTAATGCTATCAAAAATCAACCATCATATTGTGGCGCAACAGTCACACCTCTTTTAAAAAGAATGATGGCACTTTAAAATTTAAAATTTAAATCTTGATAATTTTATTTTTTTTTATTAGTTCAAATAAAATGAAAATCTAATGCTATCAAAAATGGAAAAAAAAAAAAGCACACTGTTCAAGAAGAGCAGGAAAAGTTTTAACATTCTTTTTCAGTACTGATTTTTTTTAAAAAAAAATTTAGTTTAAACGATGGTGGAGATGCACAACAATTTTTTTCTTTTAGTGAAGGTGGGGCTCTCGATCCCTCTCTATCATTATATTGGTGACATGCATTTTGAAGTCAAATCAAATAGATTTCTATGAGGTATATTAAGAGCTGGAATTTCATTGTAGATAGCTGGCAACAAATAATAAAGCATCTTAATGAAAGGGAATGAATGATAAATATTGCAATTAATAATTTAATTAACTTTAAAATAGAAAAAAAAAGTAACATTAGTATTTTTAAATAAAAAAGTTAAAATTTTATCACTTTATTTAAAAATTAATAAAATTTATATTTTTAAATAAAAAATTAATAAAATCTATATTTTTAAATAAATAATAATAAATTTTGTATTTTTACTTGTACATTTTCTCTTAACTTTTTGGAATTGTTTGGGGCAATCAAGCACCCTAAGAATTTTCTTTTTAAATTATCTCCTCAATGTTGGTTTTTTAAGGGTTAATTAAGCTTCTTACTACATGATCGCATCACTTAAGAACAATGAGACAAGACATCTGATTTGATTATCTTGTAGCAATTGAGGGCTTTCCTAATTGAGCTCCTTCATTCAACATGGAATTTTATATAAATGTTTAAAAGCCAAATTTTCAAATAATAAATTAGGTGCAAGCTGGAAACTTACAAAATTTTCTTTTTGACCTTTAAAACAAACCAAACAACAAGTTAAGGGCTTTAATTGAAATGAAGTCACATGCCTTTTCTTGTTAACGTTGACGTTGGGAAACATCATACATATAACCAAGGGGCTTAAATATTACATAAGTTACTTTGAGGGACTTAATTAAAATGAAACTTTCTAGAGGGACTTGGTTGAATCAAATGACTTAGCTAATCCAACATATTCCAGTTGTTCTAACTTTGATACAACTTTTTTTCCTATTTCATATGAGTTAGATTAAAAAGAATGTTCT